GGGTAAATCCATAGACTTGGAGCCAAGTGTAATCTAAGCCTTATTGAGCTTGCATGGTTTTGGCCACAACAAAACCCAGGCATACTTAAGTGGTACCTGGGAAGAAACCTGAGGGAGGTTTCATTATAGTTAAAAAAAATAAATGCAATGTTGAGGGACAAAACCCTAGCTGACATGGGACAAAACCTTGATCACTCTACTGTATTGAATTGGTCAAGGCGTGAGTCTAGTGATGGACCAGTACCGACCATGTGACTCAATGTCACATAGGTGAATGTGACTCAGAGTCACAATTCAAACACTGTGAGAGCCTAGTGAAGTGATCTCATGGGGCCACTACATTCACTAAAGTGACTTGGCCTTGCCCCCAGTGTTAAGGGTGGACCTGTCATTCATACTTCAAAACTACAGAAGGTACAGAATTCAGCTAGTTGAGCTTTCAACCAAGGGTTTGCACTCTTTGATGGAGGACAGTGAGACAATAAAGATTGACCAGATGTGGATTTGAACCCAGGACCTCAGCATGTAAGCTAAGACACAATGCTAGATGTGCTACCTTTAACCACTAGGCTATCTGGACATTTCCACTGTGATGACTTATGTGTAGGAGGCAGCAAACAACCCTTGTGATATGGTCTAGATTGCAATTTGAGGCAGCAGAAACCATGCAACACTGCCAAGAAAATTGCATCACATAGAGGCATGCTATGTCACATAGCAGGCCAAGATGTGATGCAATAGGTCTATTTTCCAAGGTAGGGACCTTGAAAAATGGTCCATAGTATCACATGAAGACATGCTATGTTACATAGCAAGCTTCCATGCAATGCAAATATCTTGGCAGTGCAAGCATAAGGGTGTTGGATCACTTTAACATGAAGCAGATTTTAGAAACATCAACAAGTACCTCCAGTGGAGGATTTGGATCCTCAATAGAAATCCTTTGGACTATGGTATAGGGAGGAGCTGCTGCAGTCAGGTCTATTTTTATAACTACCTGTGGCTCTACTCCCTCTTAATGTCAAGCAGGAGGCACTTTTACTGCTGCTGATGATTTACTCTAGCTCTTGTAATCCAGGGGACAAGAGGTAATCAAATCAAGGTTACCAACCTTATAAGGGGCCCTTATTTACTTCCACTGGATACACAGTGCACTATAGAGCAGATGTCTTATTCATAAGAATCCTTAATGTTGTGCTCATTGTGTAAATCAGTGGTTGTGGTAAAAAGTGAGGAGAGGGATTCTTTTCTAGTCTGAGGTGAAGGGTTGATACACTATGTCCTCAGTACTAGACTACTTGGTTCACTTGGGGTTCTAAGGTTGCCATGGCAACATTCAAAAACCTTTTGTGTTCACATACTTATCACAAGCCTATTTATAACTATATATGTAACTTCCTTATGACAGTCTACTCTACCTTATTTACACTAGATTACTGCATGTAATCTTACTAACTGCAGCCTATGGGACTACTGAGTTGTCCTCAGGGCTGTCAAAGGCCTCAAAACCCTCAAGAAACACAAAGCTGCAATTATCCCCCAACTTTGATCCAACCACATCCACCTCAACCATTACCTACACCATTTTGAAAAATTAATGGACCTGGCATTTGAATGCCAAGAAAGCATTGAATCCATTGACCACTTTCTCTTCATATGCCACAGGTACAACAAAGAAAGAGCCCTCCTTGACCATGCACTGCCAACAAAGACATCTAGGACATGCTTGTCCTAGATTTCCTTGGACAGGCTTTGTCCTAGTTTTTCCTTGTCCAAACAAGGAAAATCTAGGACAACTCTGGTCCTAGGACTTCTAGAACAACCATGTCCTAGTAGTTTCTGCTGGCAGTGATGAGCTACACCAGCTCAACATCACCCTTGACAAGTGGATTCTATCCAACCTCAATGCCTTCCCCCCATTAGTCAAATTTTGCAATGCCACCTGGCAGCTCAAAAACCATTGGATCTGGGCTCAAATCATGGGCAAAGATCAACCCAGTGACCACCACAAACCTTCTGAGTGAATCTTAGCCCAATCCTTCAGTGCCCTTAGTAACATCCAAACTATATGTAACAGTACCCCAAAACAGCCAACAGCAACCTTTTCCCTGACTTGGGGTTTTTACAGGTGCTGTAGTTACATAGTCCCTGATATTTTTTAAGTTCAAAAGACACTCAAATCAATGCAATAAAAATTATATATATTGACATTTCATTATCCTGGTCTCTTTCTCCTGGTTTTCTTTTCAGTTCCGCCAACAAGTCTAAGATATTCCTGCATAAATAACCAGGGCTCAGTTAGATGAAGATTAAGTTATACTTTTCTAGTTACTCCTCCTTGTGATCCCTTACTTATAAATTGGTTATGTCTGTGAGTTTTACTTTGAAAGGGTCTGTTTTTCATGAGTATACTATTATATTACCTATTTTCACTCTTGATACTCAAGTGTGAGATGTGGTATCTTTGTTTTTGATATTTTTTTGTAGTTATATTTTATTTGTCATTCTGTGGTAAAGGTAGAGTGGTTTTATCTTTATTGTAGGGTTGACACAAACCAAGATTGGAATTTGAGTCGGCCCCTTGTCTTTTGTAGTTAGTGGCAACTACACTTAGTCCCTATTTCCCTGAGGTAAAGTACTTGTAGCGTAATTCTGAGAAATTTTTGAATCTCTCAGACTTCAGTAGTCAGCTGGCACCATCCCTGTTACCGTATGTCAGTATGCTCAGCCGTTGTTATGCTATAGAGATATGAGAATATGCTTATGGACTGAGTGCGTGTGTTCTTCCCCAAACCTACACGTCGACACTTTGTTCGGTTGTCCTTGTAAGCTCGTCGCCACGACACTGTTTCGTTGACAGTGTCACTTGTAAATCGATTGGATTAGTGAGGTGAAAGTAAGCCAGTCAGTTAATCAGCCTTCAACTGGTCTCAATCTCAGTCTCAACCTTGGAATTTAACTTCATCACTCTCAAAGGTCTGTGTCAGTTTTCCTATCCATCACATTCAAATGAACACATGACCCTTGTGTTGTTTTGGAGTTCCCAAGACCATTTCTTTATCCTCCTAACAGCATCATCAGCTTATTCTGAATTGACCTGATGATTTTATTCCAAAATGTAGGATATCATCATCAATCTGAACTCGATCAAAACAAACTACGAGCACATCTGTCATTCAAAACTGACTGTCATCACACAGTCTTATAAGCCCTTATCAACCCCAACAGTCTCACTTATCAGTTGATCATGAATCTCTTTCGACTGATCGGTGATCTGTCTCATTTGGCATCAATCTTTATCCTCATTCAAAAAATCATCAAATCTCGCTCAGCAAGAGGTATCAGCTTCAAGACTCAAGTTCTTTACGTCGTCGTATTCTTGACTCGCTATGTGGATCTTGTCACCGGACCTTACATCTCCGTATGTTTAATCTTTTTCGAAAGAATTTCAAGATCCACTTGTTTGTTCTTCTGATGCATGATTGATGATCTACAGCTATACAACACCGCTATGAAGGTTTTCTTTATCGCCTCATCAGCTTATATCGTTTACTTGATGCACTTTAAATATAAACCGACTCAAGACCCTGCGATCGATACATTCAAAGTGGAATATTTACTTGCACCATGCGCTCTATTGTCTTTAGTTTTTAACTATAAATTGTGAGCGCTTCTTGCTCCCTCAATTTATGACTTTTAATTTCATTATTGAATGAGTTGTGAATATTCTGTTGGGTTGGTCAATGTTTAGTACGGTTGTGGAAGTCTTATGGGCTTTCAGTATTTACTTGGAAGCTGTCGCTGTCTTCCCTCAGTTATTTATGTTACATCGAACTGGTGAAGCTGAGACGATTACGACTCACTATCTGTTTGCTCTTGGACTCTATCGCGCCATGTACATTCCGAACTGGATCTATCGGTCAGTCATCTCTAACTCCCCTTTTGCTTCTGTTGATTGATCATTGACTTACAAATGACTTATTCCCTCGATTTCAAGATACATGACTGAGGACACCGTAGACCCGATTGCAATCATCTCGGGGATCATTCAAACCGGTCTTTACGGTGACTTCTTCTACAGTACGTTATCATCATGACTTTTTTTGATCCTGATCTCGTCCTCATTACTGATTTACTAAATCCAACTTTTTTCAATTTTTAATTTTTTCCCTACCCTATCTTGAAGTCTACTTCACACGAGTTATGCGAGGACAAAAGTTTGAGTTACCAGCATAGAAATAGACATGATGATAAGAGTGAAATTGAGATACAGCGTATGAAAACATTCAACACGAGTTTTGGATTGATAATGGATAAACTCCATGAGAGTTGAACTATCCAAGATTTATGATTCCGATTCATTTGCCTTGTCTTGACTCATAGCAAACTTATTATGTAAAACAAAAAACAAAAAAAACAATTCATTGTTCTGGAAACTATGTTTCTAGAGACAATTTGAGTCTCATCTTCACTTCTTTTCAGTATCTAGAGCAATCACATGCTAGAGTAAGTTACAGTAAGGTCATTGAAGTATGGCAAAGGAATCTTTTTTTTTTTTTTTTTTTTTTTTGTAGAAAAAAAAAAACCAGTGAATTGTGTCTTTCATGTCAATGTTTTATTTTTCTCTCCTTCTTCTTCATCAGGGTTTGTATCTTCTTGTCTTTTTTTTTTGCAAACTTATCCATGTGAATATTACCCTTGCGCTAATGAGCAGTTATCAAATAAATAAATAAAAATCAATATGGAGTGATGCGCCTTTAATCATTTGTTTTTTGTCCCAATTCAAGCTTTATGATTAAAAGAAACAAATCATGAAAGAAAATCTTATTTCTGGTTTTTATGACTTTGAATGAAAGAAAGGAAGGGAAAAAAAAAAAAAAAGCAATTAGATTAGGAAGACACTTATATATTAAAGTGATTTAATTTTTTTTATAATGTTTGATTTATAGATAATCTCTCACTCAATTGATATTTTGGATCAAAAAAGGTTGATTGAAGGTCCCTCAAAAAAAGCATAAAGCATGGATTTCAAACCTCTAGGTCTCCTGCAGGAGTTTCAATCCAGGAATTATGTACAGGAATATTCAAGAGGGTTGTATGAGCCTATATTATAAATTATTGATAGCTCAGTAACAGATTTTTTTTTTTTTTTTTTTTTGAGATCTTGAACTTTTTTTGAACTATATAAAGGGTTCAGAGACCTAAAGAGATCCATCTGACAACTGCAAACATTCTCTTAAAAGGCTGAAACCCATAAATGTACAATAAACATGAAGAAAAATGATAGAGTTTAATCTTCAAGAAATGATATTCATTATATATATATGTATATATATTTATCACCTTTTACAAGTAAGATTTTTTTTTTTTTTTTTTTTTTGTTCACTTGTTTTTTTAGGTTTGGGTATAATTATGGGGATTCAAATCTCACAAGTTTGTGTTCAGAAAACGTTTTCAGGAACATTTAAGAGGCCTGTATGAGCCTGTACAACTCAGTATTGATAGCATCTTCTTGTTGGATCTAGGTGTTTCATGTTAAGTGTTTCATGCTAAGTGTCTTACACTAAGCTGTTACAGGTC